GTGTGACTTTCGTTTCTTGTAATTAATAATAATAATAAATTGATCGTTATTTTACTAGAAAAGAGTGATATAATCATCATTAAAATGCCTACCTGATATTGATGTATTTTCTTCAGATTCATCACTCAAATTGAATGTTGCATATTTATTAAAATATTTTTTTAATTATATTTATACGTACATATGAAGACACAAATAATCTAACACCCGATATTGCACGTATATTATAAAATAAAAAAAATAAGAAGTAATGAGAAGACATGAAAAGGTATGAGAGGTTCTTGTGTTATATCTGTGCATACGTTTTAATCGCAGCGCCGATACATTTAACATGTGCTTCATTCTCTTAAAATATGTAATAATAAATCATTTTATAATTATAAAATTTATTATTATAATAAATATAAATATTTCAATTTATTCATTTACTTTCTTATAATAATGTCGTTATTATAACCGTCGTCTTGTTCTACTTATGGACGAAAGTGTAAAGTGCAAGCATTAAGAACATATCCCCACCACTTTCGTCCGACATTTTGAGGGCATGGCCAGACCACAGTATATACAGTAGCGCAACTCTCTGTCGGCACCTTTGATGTTAGTGTTGCCTAAAATGGAGTGCGCATGCGCGAAATAGGCGAAGTACTAGACTGTGCTTTTTCTCTTTTCATCCTTCTTTCGCTCTGTCAAAACGCACTAGCACAGTATATGCAGTAACGATGCACATGCGCGAAATAAATAGGTTGCCCTATCTCATTTTCTCCTTCTTTATTGCTCTCTCTTTATTCAATGTTCCCTTTAAACAATTCATTAATAAAAAATTTCCCTTTTTTAATATTTTAACATACAATATTTTTGTATTATTGTATAAGTATATATATAATATGTCTTGGCATAATTATTATCAAAATTATTTCAGTATATGATATTATTTATTAATTTAAATTATCTTCTAAATATATTACATTTTTTATTTGTTGTATTTTATATTTATTTTTTTGCACACACATTATATATATAATATATAATATATATTATAAATTTTTTTTTATATCAACTTTCTGATAATATGTATATACATAGCATATATTTACAAATTTACAATTATATAATATTTCTCTACATAAATATATATTTTTCAGATAATTTAATATTTTTCTTAATTATTTTACATTTATTCGTGTCTCATTCTCCAACATGCTCCTACAATAGTTCTTACTCACTTCAATGCATTCATTGGAGTGTGACGCAAATAAATCTAGGTTAATCTAGTGCGTTTTGACAGAGCGAAAGAAGGATGAAAAGAGAAAGAGCACAGTCTAGTACTTCGCCTATTTCGCGCATGCGCACTCCATTTTAGGCAACATAAAATCGGGAGAGTT